AATTTTTAAGAAAAAGGTTGGTTACATAGAAATAACAACATTGTTAATACCATAACAATATAGATTATATACATTATTATTACCATAATAATTCAGGAAAAAAATCGCCAACCTCATACACTTTGAGGTTTGCATTGCCAAATGCCGACCTAAAGTCCGATGGCTTTATAAGTGTTTACTTAACACTATTCAGCTTATGGAAAAAATTATAATTGATCATAGAAACAATGCAAAACAGACGAGTGACCAAAAATACTTGCTCTTACTTTTTATTTATTTGTTTATCAAAACTTTAATTAAAAAAAACCTTCAAAATAACACGGCCGTGGTTAGTTATAAAAATAGTTTAGCTAATAATTTAATAATAAATTAATACAAATGTTATCTAGACTATTTAGTTCATAAATTAGACATGCAATTCTTGTCTAGCTTATTTAACAAAGTGCACTAACGAGAAAGTTAGACACAGGACTTTGCACTTCATTTGTAAACTGTAATGTTGCCTAAGGTTAGTCCTTCATTTCTTAATTTTTTAAGAAGAGTATTAAGGTCAAGGCCTACGCAAACATTTTAAAGACTTCATTTTTGCTGACAAATTGTTTATCAACATCATCAAATGAAAGTTGTTTAGCCACCTCACTTTTAATACACATCAAAGCATGTCAAGCTGCTTTTGATTAATTCTAGTACAGCATTCATTTTTTATACACTTTAATTGCGAGAAGCTTCTAAAAGTTAACATTTAGTAACAAAATTTGAGGATTTTTTAAGAAAACTATAACAAATTTTGAAACTTAAATTATGTCCTAAAAAATCAGTTTAGGCAGTTAAAATATACAAAATATACTCTATAAAACTTTTTTCCCCTGTGTTTTAACGTAATAATAGACAATTACTTATTTGCAGAGTAGTAAACAAGTCGCGTGAAAATTGCTATTTAAATTCATCTAAATATTAGCATTAAATTTAACGACAAAACAATTAAAATTATTTAGTCTGCTTTCTTATAGCTGTAGATATCTCATGCAACATGCTAAAAGTGGCTTTACAAAATATTTGAGGGCCATTAAATACCAATGGAATTCATTTTTGAAGTCTGTTTTTAAGTATAATAAACACTAAATCTTGTATTGGACTTATTTTTGCATACTTGGTCAATTTTTCAAAAACTTAAATTAAGGTATAATGACCAAGTCTGTTCCAAAGCGTAGGTTCGAATAAAATAAGCAAACTACATTTACTTTTCGTTGTTACAAAAATTCGGCAAATTTTTATATTTAAATATTTTCATAAATGAAGTTGTTTATAGCTTTTAATTCTTTAATAAGTTTATTTTAGCTAATATAAAAAGTAAGAAGAGACATTTAAGAAAAGTGAACATTCTCTGGAAACAAGTTCTAAAAACCAGGTTATACCAAAACAGTAAAAACAACTTTACTAAAAAAATCGTATAGGAAACTTGGCGGAACTAAATTGAATGAAAAGCAGTGTTCAGATAACTTTAATTTGATTATGTATTTTTTCATTGTCAAAAAACTTTTAATGAAAGCTAGTAGCTACTATTATTGTCAAAATCGAGTAATTATACAAAATGAAAATTTAAAAAAAGGGTTTTTGACACTGTTTGAAATCAATTGTTACACTATATTTGGACTAATCGAACACCAGTCGGTGATTTCTCAACAGCATTTGCATTCATTTTATTTGGTGCAAACTTCATACAATCTTTAGCAGCAAAATTTTAAGTAGTTTGAATCAGTTGATTAAGTTGAAGATCATTTGATTAAGTTTATAATTACGCACCTCATATTTGCTATATAAACAAAACAACTCATAGGTTTGTGTCCTTCACTAAAAGCAACAGTCATTCGTAAGTTAAAATCAAATGCAATACTGTTTTGCGTGTATGTTTTGTCAACAGTATAAAGTGCACCCTATTCATATGAATAAGATGTAATGTATATCCCTAAAATTGCGCTAAAGTTTATTACTATACACTTATAAATGTTTGTTTTAAGTAAACTCAAAAAGTAGGAAACATAATAAAAGAAAAAAAATTGCAAATAAATTATGAACGAGTTTGTATTATGAAATTTTTTTTAAATATTTTGATTAAAAAACGTTTTAAATTCATTACGAAAATCAAAAACAAGTTATAAAACTTTTCCTACAACATTGGATGCATCTAACTCATTGCAAAGTTTTGAAATCAGGCTGCTATTTTAAAGTAACATTTTTTACAAAATTCACGGTTTTCACAACATTTTTAGTTTTTTGTTGAAACTTAGCGTAACAAGGGGCAAAATGAGACACTTAAGCGCTAATATATCTAATACGGCCTGTCTAACAACTTTTGAAAAAATAACTTGATATTTTTCAATTCTTTTACCATTCTACTTGAAGCTTGAAAAGTATGAGTTGCAAAACTGCAGTGGTTTGGTCACCAGAGATCATTTATTGACAGCACCTATCCTGTCTCATTTTGGGGCAAAATGAGACA